CGTTGGTGCCAGCTCTGGCGGCTGGCTGCTGCACCAGGCGGCTGTCTGGGTAACACTTGCTACGCACCCGTCATGGAATGTAAGCCAAATTTTGCGGAATAATGCATGAGATGGGGCGTGTGTTAATAAGCCATTTTGATCAAAATATACTGATTGACCCTTTCGATTTATTGTGCCGGAACTATCTCCTCAGTTTTTTTCTATCTGCGCAGGCTATAAGTCGAGGTAATCCGCGCAGAACGGCAAATTTTCACATCTCCGCACTATAGAGTAATCAACTGGCAACTTAATTTGAAAAATTTTATTCCTTTTCTCTAAAACTCTGTATTCTTTGTGATTGAAGCAGGCTTTGCACAAGTGATTGTTCTATTCCCAGCGTTACAAGTGCACATAGTTGTGAACCTTTTCAAAACCTGGTGTTCAGATGCAATAAGCACTCAGCAAAGTGTTGCTTAGCGATGACTGAGCTTGAACTCCTTCCGATTTTCTAGTGTTCGGCGTAATCATGTTCTGCTCCATCTTGAAAGCGAAAACTTCTGAGAAAATATCAGTCATAGAGATAAAAACAATGATGAAATGCACCTATGATTTAAATGAGTGTACTAAAGTACCGCTAAACTGCTACGATGACTTGTACCTCTACCTATATATTCATTACTATCCCTTACCCTTCACAGAAGACTTGTGAGGAATTGTCGAATGAATAACGATCACTTTCGAGTGTGCCGCTATCTAAAGCAATCTATATTTAGCCACCTCAACCTTAAATGCTGTGCTTATCCTTTGATTCGAAGGGATTGGCTTCTGGGAGGCGACCGCTTGCACCCAAAGCAATCTGCATCTCCCTCGCGAGCGTGCTCTTCGATCATTCTCTAGCCTTGATTAGGCCTCGTAGCAAGCCGCCAATCCAATTGAATCAAAGGTACGTTTGCGAAATTGGCGACATTCTCGGCTGACGAAAACGCCTCTTATGGAAACGGTCAGCACTGTCAAACAGTGTAGAAGTGCGCTGCTTCTTTGGTGCATGCTATCCCTTTTCCAGCTTCACAATATGCCTAATTTTGTAGAGTTGTTGTTTAGGGTTCTTGTTTTACTCTAGGCAATTTTTCTTGTAGTTGCTTTTGAAGTCTCATCGCCACAGTCCCTGTTCCTTCGAACTCATCGCCAATGGATTCGCCGCACAGTATTTGTTCTTCTGCATTATATTCCTGTTTCTCCATGTGATTTCTCTCTATACATTTGCAAATCTGAGGGGATAAGAAAATAAACTTTCTGATCCCTATGATGGCAAGTAATGGAGTCACAGTCGATCTAGTTGTCTTACTGTTAGCGTGAAGGCCTTTATTTCAACTTCGGTATCGTTATGGTGCCTGAGTTTTGGAATATTCTCTTTTGCTAGCAAGATATGTCTCGAGTTTTTGTTTCCAATATGCAAGTGATGATAGTTTCCGTTCTGGCATCTGCGAATGCTGAAGTCCGCTTCTTTCTGTTTTTTTTTCAAATTCTAATACTTTGAAGCCTCTCATCTCAAAAACATATTTCAATTTTTGCTGAAATTTCTGCTGAAATCTTTCACTATAATTTTGGCTTCCTTGGGAACTGCTGACGGGGGCACCAATGTAGCTGCACTACCGGTATTGTTCTTAGTCCAGAAACCAGATAGTGCTCGAAGAACTCAAAAGAAAAAAATTCTGAGGCTCTTTTTTATATGTTTACTATTCTATCTATCCCGTGCATTGAACATTTTGTGATATTAAGTTTCAACTCAGTTTAGGCGGAAATTGAACTGGGCGGAAGTCCGCCTCGCAACGACTCGCACTGTTCTGCAGTCTGTGTCTCTCATTCTAAGCTATCTCGCTGCGCCAGTGAGAACATTCCACGTGGAGCAGCGCACCACGTAGAATGTTTGCCTACTCCGGATTGAAAAGAATATATCTGTTGTCATTTCTCAGAGAAAATAATAGTTACAGCAGTTCGGCCCAATCTGTTCTTTTACAAAAATTGAAAAAGTATCTTTAAAAAAAAGTTGGAGAAACCTCGAAAAGTTAGCCTACAATATCGGATATGTATGATACAAGTTAAAAAATGATAAACGCGAGAAAGTTTTCAGGGGCTTTTGAGCAGTCATCGAAGTAAAAGCTTGAAAAACAAGCTGCTTGACAAAGAAAAGATACATTTATTTCTGAAATGGTCTGCTCTTCGCTAGCACTCATATAGACGACAAAAAATTGCAAATCGATCCAAAGTGCGCATTATATATGGTCATTGCTGTTGAGATTTATTAATCAAACTCTTACGCTGTTCACGGAAAACCTTGAGCGGTCATTTTTACGTGCACTACACTTTCAGCTTATAAACAAACTAAGAACCCATCTGGAAACTGTTTGCTGCAGATTTTGACAAGAGCTGCGATGTAAAACGATGGTTGTATTGGCCAATCCCATGAGGCTTTGCAACTTTTTCCGTATTCATGTTAGGTTGGTTGAAATAACTTTTGATTTTATCTAGGAAGCTATTTATTGCAACCTTTCACCACAAAGGAGCTCAAATTGCTGCTGCCTTCTACCGATCTGAGAATTTTCATTCAGTGACCTCATGGTGATTACCAAGCAAATGGACAGTATTGAGGGTGCATAATTGAACATCAGGTGCTTTATTCAGGGCTCGACACAGGTGGCTTGTAAGCAAGCTGGATATTGTTTTTGGGACAAAAAGCAAAGGGGGTATCGTTTTTGAGGCTGCAAAGACACGAAAATTGCGACGTTTTTCTCTAGTCGACGTTTCTTTTTTTTTGAAGGTTTTTTTGTTAGGGTTTAGAGTTGAAGGGGACTTCGTAAAAATTCGTGAAAGTCAAGGGCAGGGCCCGGCACGAGTCGGTTTCTGGGGTTTCTGAAAACGAAGTCTCCCCTGACTTTCGGAAGTTTTACGAAGTCTCCTTTGACCTATCTGCTTAGGAGAAGGTGAAAACAAGAAAGATTTACTAGTCTGGAAGAAAAGACGTGAGATAAGAGTGAAAATCCAAATTGGAGCTGAATACTACGCATGCACAAGATTTTGGCATTAGAGCGCGATATTTACAAAGCGAGAAGAAATGAAGGCACAAAACAAAGGAGAGGCAACGATATGAAAATGTCTTCACGCGGGATAGATTTTTGAGCGGGGAATCCGTCCATGCTAAAAAGATCCGGAACTTATGTGAAGTGACGAAAATATATGCTCCAGACGATCTCAGATCGTCTAGTGGCCGTCTGGAGACGATCTAATTTTGGAAAAGGTATTACTTCACATAAGTTTTCAATTCTTTTTACATAATACTTTCGCAAACAATTTTCTATACATACAGTTCAATTTTGGTGTCATATGCTTTTGCGTGCGCTGTAAACAAGCAATTTGTTTATTTAAGCCCTGCTTTCAAATCGCGCGCACTTTTCGCCATGCACCATAGAGCATGTCAATCGTGTGATAACCTCCGAAAAACTTGTGTTCGACTAAATGGCGCTTATCCTTGGTGCTCGGTTCCGACTTGTCAAAAACGTATCCCCTTTGCTGTTTGCTTTAGAAACGAAGTCCAGCCTGCTTCCAGACGATTTGTGCCGGGCCCTGGTCAAGGGGGGCTTCGTTTTTTGCACTTCCCAAAGGTCACCTCGTGCCGAGCCCTGGCTCCTTCTGCGTTCGCAATCTCTCAATAAAAAACCGTTTCCATGACCGCAATGGTTCGAAATATTTCGAATGGTAAGCAGTCACATAAAAGGAATAAAACACTTCACATTGAAGTTATATGCCATACTCAATCCGCATCATCAGCTTCATCATCTTCACTTTGCTAGACAAATCACTGATCTGAACAATAATAAAGTAAAGTAAGCGAATTGGGTGTAGTGGATCAATTATGGTGTCTGCCCATTGCACTTTTGAATTCAAACCACCACTAACAAAGCAATGGAAGCGGTCTGAATATTTGAGTCGGTTTTCGTGTTGTCTTGTTACAATACCAGCAAGGTTTGTGCAAATATGCGTAAAACATTGGATATCCTTGGGATAGCACATTTTAATCGAAGTCTAATATTCTGTGTGAAGCTGCTCTCAAAAATAAATTCATTTTAGCCCTGGGGGAGAGGAAGCTTAGGGTATGGGCCAATTATGTAAAACGTCCCAAAATTTTTTCAAACGGGTGGTTAACGCTACGCCCGTTCATTTAGAAAAACATTTCGCCGCCCCTCGTCGGAAATCTCTCGAATACATAAATACCTACTGATACGCTTTTCACCACGAAGATATGCGTAACGTCACACTGCCAAGTAATTTTACCGGAAGTCCTCTGTAAGCCCCACCAAGCACTCTTCCTGAGCAAGAATTTTTACAAAAGACAAACAGGAGATTGGTTTTGAGAAAAGTGAAAGAAACAGCTCAGCCTATCGAATAGAATCATTTGATTCGAATGATGAACAATGGGGATACCGAACGGAACGACCACGATAACTAGCATAAAATAATAATAATAGGATAATAATAATAATAATACATAGGATAAATCACTAGTAGTTTGAATTTTTTATGATATGATTTGATGACATTATAAAACCGGTAGTCATGTTTATTTAGCACTTTCGCCGCACAGCCGGTGTTTTCTTAAGACATTCGAAAATTTCACAAAGTAGAAAATTAGAGAAAAATAAAAGTTTATCAATGATACTCGGGGAGATAGGTGTACCTCCGGCATTTTCTTCGCAGTGAGACCAATGTTTAGGTAAGGATCAACCAACCAGAAAGAAAGTTGTGCATTTAGTTCCTAACAATAAGTGATTCCTCTACTACATGTATTAATACTTCAAATCGAAAAAAAAAACTCATTGTCGCAAATTTGTAGTGATGATCAAAAGTTATGCCAATTGAGCTTATATCTTTGTATCAGTGCAATGAGATCTCTTGCTTTCACCTCCATGTGGTGCATTCGTTCAAGGAAATCGTTGCTGAAATGATACTTGATGCCACGCGGGGAGATTACGATTTTACCTGTCTTCTGGAATGCGTCGCTGAATGTCGAGCAGCAGAAAGAAGAGGTCCGAGATAGCAACTTTCAAGCTGTTACCAATAGGTTTGGTAAGGTAGAGCCAGGCAGTACAGTTTTCAACCAAGAACAGAACCTGTAGTAGACTTTTTTCCTGAGGCTATGAATCCGAAAACGCACCAAGTTTCTGGTATTTCTAAGTTTTCTTTGTACTTTCCTCATCGGGAAGACATCCGCTACATAGTTCTCAAACTCCTTCCTATCTTGTTTCTCAAATCTTTGCCTTCGCGCATGACCACACAGCTGAAGAAGGCTTATTGTGTAGGGATAGTGACGAATAAAGATGACCAACTTCGGATATATTCTTGTTCAAAAGAGGATGCAATTCTATGGTGTCCTGCTCGATAGGATATCCCTATAATCTCTTCCTTGAGATATTTTGTGCATAGATTTCACGAAGAATGGACCCTAGGTCGATCCAGCCGCTCATAACAAGAATATATGGTTCATCACGATTTGGAACGCCAAGTTCAAATCTGCATTCAATATCTACTAAATGGTCTCTTGAGCTTACCATTTTTGACTCCGAAGCGCCCATTGCTTGAGTAACAAAAAAGAAGCGCCCATCGAAACATGGTTGGTGAAGGGGTAGGAGCGGTGCATTTCAGGCAAACGGTCACAGGTACGAATCCTGCTGTGACAACTTCCTTTTGCCATATGATAATCGTACCTCTTTTCAAAACAGAGTTCAGCAAGTGATGAAGATAGTTAAATTCAGCTCCGAACCAAGATGAGCCATAAATGTTCTTGTACAAATGGCTGAATCGACTCAAGGCCGCATACATTAACATTCCCGCTGGGAGATCGCAGCTTAAAAGAAAGCTTCATATCCAAAAGCTCCAACCAGCTGTCTGAATCTTACGCTGTCTGTCTATCACTATTCCTACTTCACTATAAACGTACTGAACACGAGATAGAAGATGTACAAGCAGCATTTTCCTGCTTTTTGTATAATCCCTGTTGATCCCCGACGGCCGACCGTCTCTCTTTCAAAAAAATTTTTCTTTCTTCAAAGTCAACGAAAACATTCCAAAGCTGCACTGATTATTCAATCCAACAGTGTTAAGCGTGTTTTTGTTAGAAACGAATGAGTTTTTGGAATATCGAAATTTCGATAAACCAACTTTCGACTTGTGCTTCGTCGTGATTTTCATGACACCGAGACATTATTTGTTTCTATCAGCAAAATGCTTAGCACTGTTAGGTTAGACAATGAATACAGCTTTGGAATGTTTTCATTTACGTTGAAGAAAGAAAAATGACTTTGAAAAAAGATGATTGGCCGCCGAGGATCATCTAGGCATCATACAAAAAGTTGGAAAATTCTGCTTGTACAACTTCTCGCTCGCGTTCAATATAGTACTCTGCGTTGATACCACTGCTTTAAGCAGTGGTATCAACGCAGAGTACTTGTAATATAGAAGTTTTGAGGATAATTTTATTATTCAGTTATGACAAACGTACTAGCGTTACAACCTTTCAAATTTCATCTACAAACGCAGAATCATTTTGCTTCCTGCATGTATTGCAAGCACTATGCACCACTAATTTTATGAATGTTTACCTCACTGCTGGGCAAAAATACCTCATATGAGCTTGAGCTTAGAAGTATGTCACTGAAGTCAGTCATGAATGCTGAATAAAGCCGCAATCGTTACCTACCGTACACTCTTCTGAAAAACTTGTAGGTCCAACTGAATGCACTATTTGGTACAGCACTGCAGGTGGTGCAGCAACGATTTAATGGTGCCTTGAGTATGGTCTTTATGGCAGAGAAGGTTCCAGGATCGAATCTTTTCACCGCCAGCTTTTTGTTGAGATGGCAGTTTTCATCTGAGTTCATCAACATAAATCTAACTTCAAGCGGCCATTACTAAAGCCCACATGCACGTACATCCCCGTGGAAAGGGGAGGGGATCTGAGAGGGGACGCCACGTATTTCGCTACTTTAGATACCTTCTTTCTGCTTTCTCAATCTGGTTACGAACTCTCATACCCTGATACCTGCGCATAATAGTTGCCATGGTACTGTCATACAAGAACACAATTTCACTATCTTGTGTGATCCGCTGGAATCCTCAAAGGATCACCTCTCATTACAAAGTCATTTACCTTCTCAAAAAGTCAACGAAACCGTTGGAACATTGTGCTGAGGATGTAGTATGACACTATCGAACACGACTATAGCTAAAACAAGTAAAATCCCAGAAATTCAAAATCTTCGATGAACCACTGCTCGCGAGCTAGAGATTATCGGAAATTCACAATCTTTGAATTTTACTTCTCCCGCCAAAAACATGTTTGGCTGTGCCAATTATATCCTCATTACAATTTCACAGCGTTTTCGTTGAGTTTTCAGAAAGATAATTAGCGCTGAAAATGAGAGTTTTTCATTATGTTGTGTGATCCCCCTGAGGATCCCCATGGCTGTAACCTTGCATCCATTATACGCACGTATATGAGAACCTTCCTAAGTCAAGTAGAGAAAAAAAGGTTAAAGATTATTGTAGTAGCGAGATATGACGCTTCCCCTTTCAGAAAATTCTCCTCCCCGCGGGGGGGGGGGTGCACGTGTATGCAGGCCTGAAAGCGCTTTCCTTTTTAAGGCATCTCTCCATTTACTAACAAGAAAAAGCGTACTTTTTCTTTCGAGCAATTAACGCACGCGATAAAGATCTGCTTTAACATTTTACGCAACGTGCACAAGCAAAGATGTTTGAATTTTAAGCAGAACTTTCTGTACTTGCAAATAATTATCATGCTCAGCTCGTGCTGTCATGTCCTCTTTCGAAGAAAAGAGCAGATATAATAAAAAGCGAATTACCAAGTTCCCATGAGTTCCATTATAGCCTTTGAAGCGATTGTGTATGCAGCCCCTTGGCTCATCCGAATAGGCGGCGGCAGCCAGAGGGAACATTTGATTCCTAACGAAGTTGTAGTCAAATAATCTGACAGCATTGAGTGAAGCCGCAAGGCAAAGTGTAACGACTAGTGTGAATGCCCTGCAGAAACATTAAGCTCATCTTCTATGTAGCTCTACGTCCCTTACTTACATATTAATCGTTTTGTTCGCCAAGAGGCAACGGTATCACGGATACTAAGATCCAAGCCTGTTGCTGAAAAATGAGAAAATTAGACGGATTAGTGTCGTCTCTGCCATTCTGCAATTCGATATATTTCTTAGAAATGAAAAGAAAGAGAGAAATAGTATCTGGCTGCGCAGTGGACCGATTATGATTGTTTCCGTCACGCAACGGTATCGTGATGTCCTCAGGATATGTGACAAAGTTGCAATTGTTACTCGTTTTAGAAAAGCACACTCATACTGATTTGAGTAAAGCGAAGGTCAGCGAGAATTGATTGAAAATGGTTACAAAAAAGTTTTCGGTTTAAGACTAGCTATAGCTTGCCTGTGAAATTCTAGAATGAGCACAGTTACTCGCACCACTTTCTAAACTGAATCCATACTGCTAGTACTCTGCGTTGATACCACTGCT